AAAGCGTCTGCAAAATGACTAAATGTAAATGTAAATGTATTTAAACAAAATACAGTTTTTTACTGTAAATTATACATTGATTTGTTCTTTTTTACTTCTAAAAATTGTACAATTAACAGCATTTTACTATAAAATGACATGAAATGTCTGGTTAAATCTTTTACAGTTTTTCCCTCTATATAGTACGGGAACTTACTGTTAACCTATTAACAGTTTTTTTTTCGGTAGCGTTTTTACAATATTGTTCAGTTTTTACAGTGTACTGACGTCATTTGCATATGCTCTTGTCACACCCACTATTTTTAAATCCGAGATCTGGGCACATTTTGGAAAAACCAAGCTTAGTGCAGGAAAAACATGCTCTGAATCGATTCTGAGCATGGCCTTTTCCTCCATATGGCATGTGTGTGCACTAGAGACAATTGCGGCGGGGTTACTGTAAATTATACATTGATTTGTTCTTTTTTACTTCTAAAAATTGTACAATTAACAGCATTTTACTATAAAATGACATGAAATGTCTGGTTAAATCTTTTACAGTTTTTCCCTCTATATAGTACGGGAACTTACTGTTAACCTATTAACAGTTTTTTTTTCGGTAGCGTTTTTACAATATTGTTCAGTTTTTACAGTGTACTGACGTCATTTGCATATGCTCTTGTCACACCCACTATTTTTAAATCCGAGATCTGGGCACATTTTGGAAAAACCAAGCTTAGTGCGGGAAAAAAACATGCGCTACAGACAATCGCGGCAGTCTTCATTGCACAGGATAATGCACTTATAACTTATGATAACACACTTACTTGATTTTTCCTGGTCCCTGGCCGTAGCCTTTAGCCTCCAGCTTCCTGTAAAAATTGCGAAGCTTTGCCTCAAAGTCTCTGCGGTACGGAGCAGGCGCTCTGGCCCTCTGCAAGCCTGTCAAAATACATAATACCGCTGCATATAATTACACACTGGTCTATATTTGAACATTTCCTTATTTGAAAATGTCATACAATATATTCAAATGAAATAAAAGTGGGCAAAAGCCAAAGAAAAGCTACATTTAGCATTACATTTCTGGGTGCCTCAATATGAAACAACAAAGCAAATGGAGCAGGGATGTCAGCACCATGCTGTAAAATAATTTGACTTATACTCTGAGTTTCTCATCAAGCACTAGCTATCACAAGCATGCCGAACAGGTTCTGAAAGAACCGTCCTGACGCGAGGAATGACCTGTGATTTGTTTAAACATGAGGGAAGTGGTAGACTGGCCAGATTGCAACCGCAAGCACACTGAAGAACTGATGCGGGGAGTGATTGCTCTCGCTGCGTTATAGGGAAAAGGCTTTGCTGGGTTTTGGCAAGCGGCGCTACACACAAGAGACCGGCTCATGTTTCCACAGACTTTTTAAAGAAAGCCTTAGAAGTCAGTATGTGGATGTTTGTTACTGAGCATGTTTTATAAGATCCTACGATAATAATCTGGGTAAACAACACAGTTAGATCGTGTCTTCAGCATTTGAAATAGTTGTCCATTTGTAGCTTTTAATTCACGTCTTTTAGCTTTGATGCACTCTATCTGCTTGTGTTATTCTAAAAGTTTTCTAAAAGCACTTGTATAGTCTTTCTGAAAATACTGATTCCTCATCTTGAATACACAGCTGATTTTTGTTGGTTGCTAGAACTAGCAGTAGTTTCAAAGCTAAACTAGGGGAATCATTTTTGTCCAACTAAATGAGCCTAAACAAACCCAATGATGAAAGTCTTGCTTTTACAAAGTAATATGATCATACCCGGTGAACTCTGAGGCGAGGATCCGGGAGAGCAGCGTGGAGAGAAGCTGAGGCCGGGGTGGAAAGAGTGAGATGGGATATACGACATGATCTCCTCATCAAAAAGACTGAATGACAGAGAGGAAAAAATATTAGAACGCATGCAAAAACATGTTTTTATATTTGTATTTATTTTTAAATATTGCATAATTAATACAAATTAAACATGTCAAAAATGAATTAATAAAAAATAATAGCTAAATAGCTGAACATTCTGTTTACTGTTTAGTTTAAATTGTTAGTAAATTGTCACTGTACCTTAACAGCATGACCAGGTCTGCGTCACAGGACAGCTTTTCAACGCCCTGAGGACCTTCAGTTCTGATGTAATGGATTTTCTCCCTGAGAGAAAGCATGCACGGAGCACGTAAACATCCACACAATCTCACATTTCCACTTTCCACACTGAGTAGCTTTTAAAAGGTCTGAACAAATGGAATGTTAATTGTTTTTAAGAGTAACAGTAAAGCACGTCACTAGTTTAATAGAATCATAGAGCACATTCAGGAATGCTTGGCGCGCTGCATTAGTGCCACTGTTAATGCACAGTTAACAGTTAAATGCTGATTCACTGACACAAACTTTGTTTTCTACATGCATTAACAATGTTTCATGCATCTTTATTGTGTCAGACTGTAACTCTATTGCTTTATGAGCTTAACACTCCAATGTTAGTCGTAACTCAGTGATATTTTAGCATTTATAGTATTTATTAATATTTTGAATTGGCTTTTATTTTTATATTTTCAGATTTCATTTTAATTTTAGTTTAAGTTTTAGTAATTTTGTTTTCTGATTTTGTCATTTTTATTAGAATCTTTTTTTTAAATTTCAGTTTTAGTAATTTCAGTACTTCAATGAACTTATTTTATTTCATTAATTGCAAAGGATACATTTCATTGCTGTTAATATTCTTATTTAACTTTAATATATTTATATTTCAGTTTTAGTTTAATTTTATTTTAGTTAGCAGCCAACATTTCTAATTATCATTATTGTTTTTTTTTTGTTTTGTTTTTTATTTCAACTAATATTTACATTTTATTTTATATCAGCTTTATTTTGTTTAATTTTGACATGTGTTTTCGCCATTTTTATTAGTTTATTTTATATTTCAATTGAGCAATTTATTTATTTCAACTTTTTGTTTTAGTAATTTTAGTACATATTTTATTTCTGTCAATGGTCAAGGCAACATTTATAATTTTCATTCATTCATTCATTGAATTTTCATTTAATGTTTTCCATCTAATATTTGTATTTTATTTTTTATCAGCTTTATTTCAGTTTTTAGTTATAGAAATCCTAGTAACTTTAACTCATTTTATTTCTGTTAGTGGCCAAGGCATCATTTCTAATTTTTATTTCAATTTTTCCAAGTTAAATTTTTTTTCATTTAATATTTATATTTAATTAATTTAATCTTTATTTATATTAACAGCAATCATTTTTATTAGTTTTTTGATGACAATAATAGCACTGGTTCCACTTAAATGAGTCATAATGGATTTATGTATCTCTGTACTCCCAGAATAAACTCCCAGAATGCAACAGTTTTTGCTTGGCATTAAACGACTGTCATGTTCTGCTCACCGTCATTTAGCATGACATATATAACAAAAACAAGTGTGCTTGAGGAACTCTAAGTTAATAATCCAACACTACTGATGATGAGAGACGGCTCACCTGAGTGTGTGATTCCTGGCGAGACTCGGCTGTCGTTCCTGCAGCAGGTCCAGTATGTTCGGTTGCCGCAGGAAAGCCACAATCTTATCATTGTAAGCTGAGGGTCAAGAAAACAGATGAAAGCATAATAAAGAATGATTGAAAGTTCATATTGAACGCATAAGACTGTATTATGAAGACTCCAAAATAGGTAGAGCACAAACAATAATATGCTCAAAAAAGTACAATAAAACAGTAAAACTGTGAAATATTATTAGAATGTAAAACAGCTGTGTTCTATGTGAATCTCTGTTAAACTGTAATGTATTTCTGTGATGCGCAGCTGTATTTTCAGCATCATTACTCCAGTCTTCAGTGTCACATGATCTTCAGAAATCATTCTAATATGCTGATTTGCTGCTCAACAAACATTTCTGATTATTATCAATGTTGAAAACAGTTGTGCTGCACAATATTTTTGTGGAAACTGTGATACATTTTATTTTTCAGGATTCACAGATGAATAGAAAGTTCAGAAGAACAGCATTTATTTGAAATAGAAATCCTCTGTAACATTATAAATGTCTTTACTCTCACTTTCCATCAATTGAATGTGTCACTGATGAATAAAAGGATTTTTTAGTATAGTTTTTTTCTTTGATTCTGTAGGTTTGACTGACCTAGAGGCACTGAATCGGGCTGGTATTGATTCCTGACAGCTGATATTAAACCGTTTCCAGGTCTGCTGAGCAGAGACACTCCTCTGTTTCGGGACACTTCTGATGCCTGAGACACAACACATAACATCAGCAACATTACAGTCATGGCTTGAAATCTGAGAGCATTTGCATGTGTGTGTGTGTGTGTGTGTGTGTGTGTGTGTGTGTGTGTGTGTGTGTGTGTGTGTGTGTGTGTGTGTGTGTGTGTGTGTGTGTGTGTGTGTGTGTGTGTGTGTGTGTGTGTGTGTGTGTGTGTGTGTGTGTGTGTGTGTGTGTGTGTGTGTGTGTGTGTGTGTGTGTGTGTGTGTGTGTGTGTGTGTGTGTGTGTGTGTGTGTGTGTGTGTGTGTGTGTGTGTGTGTGTGTGTGTGTGTGTGTGTGTGTGTGTGTGTGTGTGTGTGTGTGTGTGTGTGTGTGTGTGTGTGTGTGTGTGTGTGTGTGTGTGTGTGTGTGTGTGTGTGTGTGTGTGTGTGTGTGTGTGTGTGTGTGTGTGTGTGTGTGTGTGTGTGAGAGAGCAGGGAAGCTTCTGGAAAAGCTATGTGCCGAGAGAAATGGCTGCACCTCTCCGGCACTGTAGCTGCGCAGTCTCTGTAAGTGTTGTCTGTGTGTGAGGTGACTCGGCAGACGTCCGTTCTGAAGGGGAATCCTGGGGTCGATGAAGGTCGTCGCACGACTGTTGTGGTCCACAAAGAACGACTACCACAGCAAAAGATCACACACAAACATGTCATTAATCTGAATGTAAACACTAAAGCAGTTTCACGTTATGCTAGTCTACCCGTTATTATTTTCCATAAGTACGCAGCGGCTCATCGATGGGGAGCAGTGCTTGTGTGTATGAAGCCGTTCTGAAGCAGTGGTTGTGTATGTCTGGATGGAGCAGCTCACCTTGCCCTGCGGGTCTGTCTTGATCTCCCAGCCTCTCGGGAGCTCCAGCTGAGTATCGGCGAATTTGTTGAGGAAAGTGACAAAGTCACGGTTGTGCTGATATCGCTCAAAGTTGTGAGCATCTCGCCGTATTTTCAGAATCATGTGCTTCAGGCAGGTGCTGTTAGTAAAAATCCGATACGCACCCTGAGGAGAAAAAAAGACAGGTGAGTGTGTGTGTGTGCATGTTTATGTGGTTTATGAGGACACAAATTTGTATAATGACATTGGTATGACATAGGTATTACAACGAGAAGGTGATTTATGAGGACATTTTCAGTGTCCCCGTAACTCAAAAGGCTTATAAATAAAAATAAAAATGCAGAAAGTTTCCTGTGAGGGGTAGGTTTAGGGGTAGGGTTGGTGTAGGGCAATAGAATATACGGTCTGTACAGTAGAAAAACCATTACGCCAATGGAGAGTCCCCATTTAGATAGCTAAGTAAACGTGTGTGTGTGTTTTAAGTAACAAGTTAGAAGACTTTCTAGTTGAAGGCCCCAGTGTATTTAACAGAAGTTCAAACATCTAATGCAAAGTCATGCAGTTTTCTTGTCATGGGACAAATTTCAACATACTGCTCAAGGTATATCAGACACATAAACATGCGGTAAATGATGCAAAACAGGACTTCGATTAGCAACACCAAGACTGCTGTTGTTCATAATATGCGCTGATATCGAGGTGTGGTCACATTTACCGTTGCTTGGCAAAGGCTGGTGAGTGTAATCGTGTCATTTCAATAGGAATCCGCATCTTCATGATGTGTATGAGTGAGTGAGTGTGTGTAAGAGTTTGTGTGTGTTTGTGTTTTTATGTTTTGTTGCAAAGGATTTTACTCAGCCCACAATTCTGTCATATTTGGGTTTTAGGAACTAGAACGTTGATTATGACAATCAGATTAATGCATATTCTTGTGAATGTGCATCTGATCTGATATAGTGAGTATTCCGGTGTTATCAAACCGAACACACACAGAGAGACTTCAGTATAATCGTGAATTTTCAATCAGTGCCATGTATTTTTGCGAGTGAGGTCTGTGTATGTGACCTGCATGAAATAACTTGAAACAGAATAAAGAGCACAACACAGACACAGAAAAACAACAACAACAAAAAACATTTGTCCCATCTTGTGAAGAAGTGTACAGGCACTCGAACCCAAACATCCGCTCCCACAGATCCACTCCTGTCTCCGCACGCTTTATCTTTGACTTGTTAATTTCTGTTATCTGTCTGCTTTGCTATTGCAGGGCAGCAGGAGTGCTTATGGGATCAATAAAGAAGGAATCTGCAAATAGTTCAATCAATATCACCCTTCAACTAAAGTGCAATCTACTTGATCAGTGTCCGTTCACGAAAGCTGAACTGATCGCAGTATCATCCTCACAGCACTCCTGTGTCTGCATTCACTGAAGCAAATAAAGCCACTTTCATTTGAGTGAATTCAGTGCACTGGCTACAAATGGTTTGAATCCGCTTCCTGCAAGACAAACCACAAGAATGCACATGAAAACTTCTCATTGTGACTTACGTAGTTAGCATGGAGGACAGTGAAGAATTCTGGGTGCGCCACAAACTTCACGGCTGGAGACTGGAGCAGCAGTGTGACGCTCTGATTATTCACAGGAGATGAAGGACCTTCCCTTCGCTGATCTACAAACATTACAGACACAAATAATGTCTTATTTAAAGGAATAGTTCAGCCGAAAATGAAAATTTGCTGAAAATGTATTCAACCCTCAGCAATGGATGCTCTGCAGTCAATGGGTGCCGTCAGAATGAGAGTCCAAACAGCTGATAAAAACATCACAATAATCCACAAGTAATCCACAGCACTCCAGTCCATCAGTTAACATCTGGAGAAGACAAAAGCTGAAACAAATCCAGCATTAAGACATTTTTAACCAAAATACGAGTCCATAATCCATAATAACTCTTCCTCCATTGAAAAAGTGTTCTGGTCTGAATCAGGAGAGAAATCTGCACAGATCAAGCAGCGTTTAAACAGCTCTAAACTAACATGTGGCTGGATTTTGATGAGAGAGACAACAGCAGATGCACTTTTTCACTTTTTACTTGTGGATTATTGTGATGTTTTTATCAGCTGTTTGGACTCTCATTCTGACGGCACCCATTCACTGCAGAGCATCTATTGCTGAGACACTGATGCAATGCTACATTTCTCCAAACCTGATGAAGAAACAAACTCATCTACATCTCAGATGGCCTGAGAATGAGTGCATAGTCAGCAATTTCAGCATTTCTGGGTCAACTATTCCTTTAAGCTTGGAACAGTAAAGAATTGCTAATAAATACATGCATCCAAGTTGGAGTTTATAAAATCACTTCTTTTGGGTCTATCGCTTTCTACAAGTATTTCACCTTCTGGTTGAATTATAAATGGAAATACATACATTTTAACTTAAAGATCTATGACACCTAATCTGTTCTCTGGCAGCTTGTCTGCTAACACCTCTTCTGCTCAAAACTCAGTTTATTCTCATCAAACAGCATCTGAAAGAAAGGCCCACCTGCAGCTTGTGGTGTGGATTCACTATCTGTGTCTCCACCGCTGTTTCTCTCAGATACACGAGCAGCCGGTTCATCTTCTGTGGCCATCGTCCTCTGGATGTTCTGATACCTGGTGACAAAACCATCATGCTCAAATTATCATCGTTCTTGATGCAAAACAATGTGCTGTTTATACAGTACATCATAAAATGAAGAAAACTTATGAAAGGCATCATGTTGTTACTTCCAACCTTTGTAGTTTTTTTCGTGCATTGTGACAGTGAGGTCAGAGCAGTGAAGAGTCTCTGTTTGCCTAAAGTAATATTCATAAACATTTAGGAAAGGCTTGTTTTCTTTTTGATAATTTGAGCTACTTGCATGGTATTTCAAAATGACCAACAATTAATCATTCAAACGTTGCTACTACCATTCAAAAGTTTGAAGCTTGAGGTCAATATATATATAAAATATCTGCTTTGCTCACTAAGGCTGCATTTATGTGCTCAAAAATATTGTGAAATATTATTACAATTATCTGTGTTCTATGTGAATATCTGTTAAACTGTAATGTATTTCTGTGATGCGCAGCTGTATTTTCAGCATCATTCCTCCAGTCTTCAGTGTCACATGATCTTCAGAAATCATTCTAATATGCTGATTTGCTGCTCAAGAACCATTTCTGATTATTATCAATGTTGAAAACAGTTGTGCTGCACAATATTTTTGTGGAAACTGTGATACATTTTATTTTTCAGGATTCACAGATGAATAGAAAGTTCAAAAGAACAGCATTTATTTGAAATATAAATATTTTGTAACGCTATAAATGTCTTTACTGTCACTTTTGATAAATTTAACATAAAACCCCATTTACTCCTGTTAGCTGTAGTGTAACACAGACAGATTCAGCATGTGTGCGTCCTGTAGGTGGCAGCATCAGCTCAAATATACTTGAAGCAGTTTTTGCTCCAACCTGGTCAATTCACTAGCATGACAACAAAACATTGAGGAAATACTCACAACGCTTCTATAAAGCCATTACTGAACTGCATCATTATTAAAAGAATGTTTCATCTACACTGATTAAAGTCTGCAATAATGTACTAATACAGAAACTATTCTACAGGGCTATAAATAAGCAGTGTTGGGAAGGTTACTTTGAAAATGTAATAGGTTACAGATTACAAGTTACCCTATTTAAAATGTAATAGTAGTGTAACTTTTTAAATTACTTTATTAAAGTAATGTAACTGATTACTTTTGATTACTTTTTGATTACTTTTCTAAATTTCTAATGAATGTTTTCAACTGTTAATCATTTTCAAACATTTACACCATGCAGCGTTAACCTTACGGTAGTGCTCAACACTGATTACTGTCAGACTTTCAAAATCCTTCAGCACTTGAATTAAGATGATAATAACTGAACACATCCACTACAAAATCAGACTTTAGTACCGCCTTTTACTTTGAGATTGATCTGAAGTTCAATGCAGATTTAAAATCATAAGAAATAATTTACTGATACTGTTTTTGAAACCAAATCTTCACATAACTACAGGAAACACTGCATCTAACAATGCTTTGAAAAAAAAAAACAGTTAATTGAAAAAATAAAATAAAAGCATATACATCAACCCAAATATGGTTATAACAATAATAATAATTAATTAATAATAAAGAAATTGTAAAATGCTCATGAAGTGACCCAGAGCAGTTCTAGAGATTATGTTTGTTTGTTCATGCACTCATATATATTGAGATGGCTGAAAAGACCACGAGCGATACACATGCACGCTTAAATGAAACCGCGCATCTGCACCATTCATTTCCACGAGGTGCGGATTGGGAAAATATCCTCCTGAGAACCAGAAATAAAAAGCTTTGTGAATTTAGTATTTTTTCATGTCATTACATTGTTTAGAGCATAAGAAAAAAT